TGTTCAATAATTGGATTTTTAAACACGATTCAATAAAAGGAAAATAAAAGTCGTGCTGAATATTATATACACTCATATGAGGTCCTATCATCGATAATATTAGTTAATTTATTAACATTTTTTTACTCGATATCGTTTTTTATTCGAATGAGTATTAATATTAACTGCAGCTTAGTTATTCTAGAAATTAAAAAAGATTGATTATTTATTAATAAGTAGAGATGAATTCGATTGTTATGATTATAACAGCTTAATGTTTCAACCGGCTACATTCCAAAATGAAAAAAAAGAAAAAGATTAGATTGAAAATTCAATGATAAAAAGGCAAATAAATTTTGATCGTTATGTTTCTAGTAGATTTTTTCAAAATTCAAAATAAATCAAATAAATATATATTTCATGCTATTTTCGAAGCTTAGAAGTCAATGAATTTATAATTTAATCCTTTTTAAATAAAATCAATACTATATATGATTAAAAAATATTTGATTAAGTACATTTGATATAAATTTTTTAAATGCACAATTGATTAAACAGATTTCATATACATTTTTTCAATACACATTTAATATATAGATTTTTCTGTAAAAAAAGATTTTATTAAAAATACGATTTTTAATGAAAATTTTATTTAATAAATTAATCAACTATGTTTTTTATAAATACCATGTTATATTAAATTATCATGTATTTTCTATATTGGTCAATGATTAATTATTAAAATTAACTATTTAAATTAATTATTTAAAATTAATTAAAATCAAATTTTTATTGTAAATTATTGTTTGAAAAGTATATTTATTTATATTTCTTTATATTTGATAAAATAATAAAATATACTGTTCAGGATTGAGTATACTGACAGACTACTGAAATATACTGACAGGATTCAGTATACCTCCGAAATATCTCGATCATTTTAAAGTCTTTGCTTGCGAATGTCCTGTAATGTTTATCTAGTTTCCACATAACAACGTCGTTTTGAATTCTATAAAATTTGTAGAGCCTTGTTTTCCTGGAGTTCTCGAAAGTTTTAAATCTTTAGAATCTAACGTTAGGCGCACCAAGTGCACTACACTACTATGAGAACCCGGAAATTTACAACCTCCAGCCTCGACTTGTAGTACGCGCTATCTCCAAGGAACGGTAAAATCTCAACGATTCTCACTACTAACGTAGAATCAGATTTGTGTGTTTGTAAATCAGAACACTATAAATAGCATGAAAAACAATTATGTTGATTACTGAATTGATGCATTAACCTCTCACTTATCCATACTGTTACAGCAGTAAAATAGTGGATATGGATTATTCCAATCATCTTGATCTTTCAATCATTGTGTGACTAGAATTCAGATATACATAATTTAATATGTAAAAAGAAATAAAATATATTTCAATATAATATATTTAAAACATAATATATATTTTAAAAGATTTATAAGTAGATTTACAAGTTCTTAATGTTTATAAATAAGTTAATATATTTTGTGGAAATAAGTTTTCATATATATTAAAAATATTTAGTAACTAACATGTATAAAATAAAAACAAATAATATATAATAGGCATATCTTTGTGATATATGTAAAAATTTCTTTTGTATATAGTGTACATATAGGAAAGGATTTAAAGATCATATTACTTATATTTTTTACTACTTAGTTTTTTTTACGGATGCCTAAGAACTTATAGAATCTTATATTTTATTTTTAAGAATTACATCTTCACTTACCTGTTGAAATTTACAACAGCATGTTTATGTATTCTATATTATATTATATTATTACATTGTAATATAATAACAAACTATAATATATTATCCTATAGCATTATAATGCAATAACAAACTATAATATATTATATTATAGCATTATAATATAATAATAAACTACAATAAGTATCCAATTATACTTCTAATAATTTATTAATTTTTATTTTACATATAAACATATTATGTATTTATGAAGCTAGTAAATATATTTATACAATTTTAAATAAATTTTTCTATTTATCTTTTTGATAATAAAACATGAGTATAATATACGTTTATATATTTACAAATATGTTATTCTAATGTACATTATGACTTTATAAAAGCAAAATTGAGATGATTTACTTATGAATATTCTTTAATAATAAATAATTAAATATATTTTATATTTCTAATTATCTTGTATGTCTATATTGAAAACTAGCGTATTTACAAGTCGATAATCTTAAATCTGTAATAAATATTAAGTAAATGAATACATTATATACTTTCACCGTACTTTATTGGATACTTGGTTATAATTATTTATTTATTTATCAATAAAAATGGGATTTCTACATAAATTAGTTGTATTTTTATATATAAAATAAGCTCTAAAAATGATTCTTTATTTTAATAATTGAATTTCATAATTTATTTTACTAATAATGAAATTAATCTATATTAGTTATTTAAAATATAATGTAAAAACATTCAACAACATTTCGCAGTATAAGGATTGACTTCTATACCATAGAATTCTGTATTGTATGCATAATAAATGGAAAATTCTATTGCTTGATCTTCTTGGGGTACCTGGATGCTGTAATTATTCTTAGGGACGATTTCAAAAACAAGAAAGGTAAAAATTCAATATTAAGAAAGTAAAAATGTTATTAAACTTCTTTTTCTATTCAGTACATTTTCGCAGGTATATTATTAAAATAAAGTTTACTATAAAATCAAATATTGTAATAATATAAAAAGTATGACAACATATAGTAAATATTAATATTATTTTAAATTTGTGCAAAATTAATATTATATAGTATTATTATATTTATATAAGGTATGTTTAATATCTATTATATATAAGTATAATTAGTATTATGTACTTGCTTCGTCTCAGATATTATGAATAAAATAAAACAGAAACTATAATCACTTCCAAATAGTTGATATTAATATGATTGAAATAATAAAAAAGAAGATAAAAGCATGTTTTAATATAGTAGTGGAAATCTAGTGAAAAAAAGTATTATTACTTCTATATGTAACTGACTTGTATTACAAAACATAAAAAATATATTATATAAAAATAATACGTATTATATATAAAGAAAATTTATAAAAATTTGCATTATTATTAAGTACATATCACAGATAAAGTATACAAAATATTTATTTTGTATATATTCTCAAATTTGTATGTATATAATATTTGTATATAATTGTATATACATATACAACATATTTATCAATATATTAAATGCAATTGAAAAGTATGCATAAAATATTTAGTACAGTTTAAAGTAAAAGAAATGAAAAACAATTTTCAGAAAATAGCTTATATTAATATTCATGTATATAATTAATTATTATTTATATAAATAATTTGGTAATAATCATTGTGTTAATGATGAATTATAAAGTTTCAGTAAATAAACATTTATAAGAATTTTTATATTCTTGATATTCTTCATGTTAAACAATATTTTAACGATGTACCTTATTTTTCTATAATTCATCATTTTCTAAAACTATGTTACTTAAAATGCTATGCTGGTTGAACCTTTAATTATCATTTTAGTTTTTCAACTAAGTTTGGTTTTAATTTTCCATTTTATATACAAAATTTTCATTTATTAATAGATCCTTTATTAAATATTTATATTAATTTATGATGTATAATTGTTTTGTATGTATCAATATTCTACTAGAGTTATATATTTTAAAATATTCTAATATTGGCATGTTTTTATTTTGTTTTATTGTACATTATTGTATTATAAAGTTATTGTATATTTTTTAAAAATTTCTTAGTTTTATACTAACTGGACTAGATTTAGTTTTTTTTTAATTCTATGATTAAATTATTTCATTATTTTTAAAAAATATTAATTTAAATATATTATTAATATCTGGAAATTATGAAAAATTAAATTTGCCAGTGAATAAGTTTATGATATTTTCTTCTCACCTTAAAAATATTTACAAATAAATATATTTGACCAAGTATCTCATATTACATGCTTGTCGTACGTCAGTAAAAGATTGCACGCAATACAATTTTACAAAATATGATTATATTTACAATAAAGTAAATACGTACTCAGTTAAAATGAAAAGTTATAGTCATGCATGTGATTAATAAACTCAATTAAAAATTCAGAAATTTTCACTTTATTGAATTTGGTCGTATTGTCTTTTCGATTATATAAAAATCTATATCTTGTAAAAAGAATTCGTAAATATATATCAATCTTAGCAAAAAGTTGAAGTTAAGGAAGCACTGATTAAAAAGAGATGATTTAGTAAGAGCTGAACAATATGAGAATTTATGTACCTGCGTTAAAGGTTACACTCAAGTAATGATTCTCAATATTGTCATATAACGGAACAATTTTAAGTTAGTTGGTACATTTGAGTTTTCACAATTGCTAGCGACCTCTTCATTATCTAACACGTGATTCATACAACTTGTTCATAATAGACACTGATAATTTATTATTCAAAATCGCAAATGAGACAAAGAAAGTTCATTTTTTTCATACTTAACATTCTGTGTTCACTTGTGAACTCTTTGTATCAAGATTTTCAATACATAAAACGGAAACTGCTAGTATTTTTATTTGTAACTTTTATTACGTGGTAAGTTTTCTGTTATATTTTGTTGCTAAATTTTATGGAAAGAACGAGGAACAAGTGATAGAACAAGGTCGTTGTTTAGTTAGTGTTTGCGTGTGATTTACGTTTTGTATTGTTAATTTATCTAGTATAGTTTCACATATTCAGGCAATATCGCGAGAGTTTATTAGATTGTTTATTGCTACAGTATTGTTCTCGTAGTGTATTAAACATTAAACATGCTATAAAAGTTTGCACAAAATAACTACAAACAATCGACGTAATCGCGCTAATGTTGAAAGGAAATGTTTGATTGGGTGAGAGGGAGACTTGGTTTTTGATTTCCATTAATGAACCGAATAAAGTGCCCGAAATTTTGTGACCAATATTAGTAGAAGGCAGTGATACCAGAAGGGAATCGGGATTTTTTTTGTTTCATGGATGTACTTATTTTTTATGTTTTATACCAACAGCGACAGCGCTAGTGCCAACATTGAAAAGTAAAAGTAATACGTATAATATAACCTCTTCGGAATGCCTTTGAAAATTCGCGCTTAAAATGTCAGATACTTATTTGACGATATATGCGCGCGCATTGTGATTAAATAGAACGCCTTCAATCTAGTCTTCTATTTTGTCAAGTGAGCATTTTGAAAAAACGTAATGGAGACTCTAGAGAAAAGTAACATGTGTCGACTTTGTGGCAAGCATTTAGGGGTAGCCATTGATATTTTTGACAAAACTGAGGATCACATGCGTAAAATCAACGCTATATTACCAATACTAGTAAGTAATTTGTTTGTTTATTGATTTTATATTCACTGATTCAATAATTTATGATGCCTTTTTTCACAATTTTTCTCAATTTTCCACATACTTGACGGAATTAGTAAAAATCACTTTACTAACTTTTTTCTTTAAATATTTTTATAAAAATAGGTTACAAAGTGTTATTTTTTGCTTTTTATTTTTTTTTAATTTTATGTTTATTTATTTTTTGCTAATAAATATTAAGTTGTAGATAAAGTTCTTACTAATAAAATATATTAAAACGATGTAAAAACACTAATGTATTCAGTGAAAATTTTTTTTACATGCATTGGACTTAATTATTAGATATCTGAAAACAGGGTTTATAAAATTGATGCTTTTGTTTTGTTTTTACTTGTTTGAGTATTTTAATGTTATAATCATCACACATCAGATTAGTCTAATGATAAAGCCTAATGATATTTTAAAAATTTATAATTTGTCCAATTAACAATGAAGTAGATTAACATGATCTAAATTTAAATGAAATATAATATATAAATTTCAAATTTCTAAAAAATATATTTCAATTTGAGTCTTGAATTTAATATATTTTTTTATTATAGGTACATGAAATGGATTTGTTACCAAAACAAATGTGTTCTAGATGTAGATACAAATTAGAAGAATTTTATAATTTTTATGTAGATTGTGCAAAAACTGATACTGAATTTAAAAGTCAATTATCCTGGATGAATAAAGAAAACGTACAAGAAAAAATTATTACTCCTATGGTAAAAATAAATAAATTCAAAATTAAAGCAGAGCCATCAGATAATGATGATATAATTGATTCATGTAATGTACTAGAACACATAAGGAAAAATTCATTAATGTTTCCTGCAAGTATTTTAAAACATAGTTTTGATTCAAAAGCAGATTGTATGTTTCCTTGTGTGAATTGTCAATGTATCTATAGTAGCAGAATTAAAATTAATAATAAGTCTTCTAAACAAGTAAAAGTAGGAACAAATGTAAAATCTAAAAGCAACGTGTGTAGTTCTAATATAGTTTCTGATAATGTCAGTAAATTTAATAAATTTGAAAGAGCGAATAAGAATTTCTCTTTTAATAAGAATATAATAAATAATAATTTAAGAAAAAACAATATTAAAGAAAATTTAATTAAAAATCATGATAATATTTGCAGCAAATCTAATAACATTTATAATAGTAATATTTTAAAACCTGAAAAATTAGATAGAACATTGAGGCCTAGAAAAGTTTTGATAGATTATATGGGCCCAAGAAAAAAAAAAAAAGTTTCTAATATAAAAGCAAAATTCAAAAGTAAATTGGATATATTTGATCCTTCATTAATATCTCCTGTTAATATGAATTTATCACATGATTTGATAAATTCAATGTATCCTAGCCCAATTCTTAAATTGGAAAAGGTTGATGAAACCTTTAGAACGTTAAGGACCCGGAAAAATTTGGAAGAATTTAATAGAAGAATAAAAGATCTTAAATGGAATCAAAGTTGGCAAAAGACAGAAAATCAAACTAAGAAAATTTTGTTCAAAGGACGAAATTTCAGCAAAAAAAATTTACTACAGGGTGTAAATAAAAGTGACAAAAATTTACCAATAACTAAACTGGACAAAAAACAAATACAAATAGAAGAAATTGCAAACAAAAAGAACCTACAGGTTAAAAAAAGAGCTAAGAAACAAAAGTTTTTAAAATATATGCCAAATAATTCGAACAAAAATGTGAAAATTATGAAATTAAATATAAAACAAGAGTTGGTTAATAAAATACCAGAAAATAAATCTATAAAGCAGTTAAGACAAGAAAAATCTATTCAAATAGATCGATATAAAAGTCAAAAGATATCTAAAGTAACTATAGATAGGTATCCATTATGTGCTGTTGTCAAATTAGAGAAAGATTATACATGCAATGTAGATTATCCAAGAATTCAAATTAAAAGACATTTGTCATTGTCAAATCCTTCAGAATCTCAAAATACTGTTTTAGAGGTTTTACCAGGACAAACTAGTATTTTTGAATTAGCTGTAGATAGAAAGTCAAGAAATATTGATAGTAATATTTCTTCTAAAAATTTAAGAAATAAAGGGAATAGATTAAAGTTAATTAACAAAAATAAACCTAAGATATCAAAAAAAAAGAAAAATCTGAATCTTGTTAATGTTAAGACAATACTTTTGGAAAAAGCTACATCTATTATATCACAACCAGATTTTAAGCGTTATTGTGAAGAATGTGATTTGTGTTTCAAAAACAAAGAATTATATAAATTACATCCATGTTATCAAAAGTAAAGTAGTACCTTTTCACCAATGACGAAAACTTTATATAAATAGTTGAAGTAATTTTTTTGTTTCTATGTAAAAGAATTACATGATATGTAATTAAAATCATGTTTGTAAAATAATTTTTTAGTATATTTTTTATTACGTATATAAAAAATGTTGTACATTTTTGTAAAGTGTATTTAAAGAAACAATTTCTGTATGGTCAACATAAAAATTGTCTTTAATTATCACAGATAAGAATACATTTTATATACTTTAAAATAAATATTTATAAAAAATTATTTTATTACAGTGGAGCATAAAAGATTTTAATTTCAAACATTGAATAACTTTTTGCAGTAACAATGATTTATTGCTTTTTTACAAAAAACAAATACATAGTTTCTGTGATATTTCAAAATATGATATAAATTTAAAAATAAATTAGAAAAATTTAAATACTCAAATTTCCAAAAATAAATATATGTGCTTCTAAATTATTTTAATAATGTTTATTCTGAATATTATTTCTAAAATGGACTTTTATTCTGATTTTTACCATTCATTGTACTTAAAGAAATGAATTTGTTGTTAGATTTATATTTAATATAAAATAATAAAATGTTTTTGTTGTTGATTAATAATCAATTTGAAAGAAATATAAAAATAAATTTTTTAATAAATCATTTTATTTAGAAATGACTTAACTTGAAGTGTCAAATTGTTACATCGACAATAAGTAGCATTATATAGTCATGGTTATTTTGACTGAAATTATATAAAGGCATCGTCATTCTTATATTTCCCCTCATAAACATTTTCACGGGAAGCAACTGTCAGAGTATTTCTCTGTCCAGTAGAGAAATATTAAGACCCAGATTATTCAGGGCACTTATAATAATCCATTTGGCCTCATAGCCATTTTTTCTCTTGTTTTCTTTCTCTTACCAAGAGCAAGATAGAAGAGCAGTGATATGGTTGATTAGAATTGAATGTTTTTATACATGCTACCTGCGTACATTAAATCCTTTAGTACCATCAGGTCCTGTTGGCATTCTTGTGATATTTAGTGTTACTAAATTACTATTACCAGCTACTAATGTTTTTCCCTGTATCCTATTAATTTCCGAAACTAATTTTTCATCAGGACTTTTTTCTTCTCCTAGTATTCGTTTTCTTGCTTCGGCATATTCTTGTTCTCTCTAATTAAAATTTCATAATTTATAAGATTATTTTATATTTGAACAATATTTTCTTTATAAATGTAAATAAAATAAGTTTACCTGTTTTAATGATTTAATTGGTTGTTTTGGCTTATCACCATTTAAATGTGGTCCGTCACCTTGTATATTTCTATCTGGCCTTTTTAATATTTTTACAGTAGATTTTGGAGCATATTGTGATCTTATTCTTCCTTCACCCAAAATAATAATACGTGCATCAGTTTTACAATCTTTACTGTTAATATAAAAAAAATAATACTTAAAATATATACATATATAATTACAAATTTTGAATTTTAACTTCGAATTATAAACATACTTTCTTGATTCATCTTGAAGAACGTCGACAGAATTCACATCAAGAGCTTTCAATTTTTTATCAAGAACCTTAAATATAAAATATAAATGGATAAATGAAATATGAGATCAATCCATATTTACTGAAATATCAATACATATTCGAAAAAGGAATTAATTATGAAAATATTATTAATTTGCAAAAATTAAAAGAAATTAAAAAACGTGTAGTTGAAAACAAAAATGCGTATTAAATATATTTCATGCTTCCATTTTTATAATCAAGAAATGATGTAATTGAAAATTCTTTTCTCGGATGAAGAGAGGGATGAACAGAGATAAGTTTATTTATTTAAAAAAATTCTAAATATTTTTATTGTAATGTTTCCTGTTTTAGGTTAAGCGAAGCTCACTGGAAATTTTTATTATTGGTATTTTATGATTACCCTGTTGAATTTTGAAGTTAACCTCATTCTATGAACTTACCCCCGACTCATCCATCTCCTCCCAGCTCTCGTAGACGTTGTCGACAACAGACATGTCCAAATAAAAATTTATGACTTAGATCGGGTAGAACAAGGAGTGCCAAACGATGGTTTAAAGCTTATAACGGGTGAATTGTGCAATAAAAGACACAGAGGAACGATGAACGAGAAAAGAGAAACGTTGAAAACTAAATTATATCTTCAAAACGGACTTACCAACATATCAAACATTGATTTATTTGTGCTATTTGCACTGTATACATAAAGTTGATCTTATATAATTATATTTTATAATCTGAAATTTAAGTATTATAATTCCATGTGACGAAAAAATTTTGTCAATTTCAATTAAATTTTTTAAATAAATATTTTTTATAATAGATTGTTTCAAACAAAATAATTTAATTATAAATAAATAATGTATAAAATATAATTAATATATAAAAATGATCAATTGAATAAAATTTATACTACAAAATTTGAAGTGAGAAATTCGATAAAATATATGCTGTCAGTAGTTATTACTTGATATAAATTATTTTACGTGGTTATAAAGTAATAATTTGTTCGAATTGATATAGAGTTGGTTTGTCATATCTTGAAACAGTTTTTCGTAATCTTTTTACTTTTTGTATTGTTACATATGATAACTGTAAATATAAGTACATGATCAGAGTAAATATATCGCAGTAACTGTTAAGTTGCAAAAAATATTAATTTTTTTCCTCCATATTATCATTTTTGTAAAATGACGGATATAGAATGGTAATATGTATTTAAAATTGTTTATTTAAAAAATTTTCAATCTATTATATGTCATAAAAACTATTTATATATTTATTACATTTTTTAAATATTATAATTTTCTAGGTTTGAAAGGCCTGTTAATTATAAAATAAAAAAAACTTTATATTTGGAAGAAGTTATTGAACATCCACTTAAGCCTGTGACTGTAACAGTATGTAAAGCTTTTTTTAATATATTAACTAAAATTAATTAAAATTGTTTAAACATATTTACCTCAATCAATTTCAGATGATTGATGGACGATGTGGGACTAAAAGAAATCTAATCAATATCAATTCATCATTGAGAACTCCATCTCCTGTACAAACAGTTTCTATTAACATTGGATCAGTAGGAAATAATATTTCCAGTCATTCATCTCTTGATGGTTCAGATCCTTTAACTCAATTTATGAAAGAAGAAATGGATCCTCTTTCAAGAATGGCATCAAATGAAGTAAATTAATTAAATACATTTGATGTTCATTGAATATCCAGGAATATTTTTAATTTAAAATTGTAACTTATTAAAAAATATTTCTTAAATACTTAGTTGAATTATTCAGCTAATATAATAGCAGATGATAAAAAAATGAAGGATAAAATATATAATGTTGAGCCATGGACTTCAAGACGAGTGACTGTACTTAATAAATACACAACTTTAGAAAAATTATCTATTGAAACAAGTTTTTTACCAGGTGGAGAAAAAAGTATGTACAAATACATATAATCAGTATATATAATATATAAATTATTTATTTTTATATATTTTATAGTTGTTATGAAAGTTCAACCAAGTGGATTTTTAGTAGATAAGGTTAAAACAAGATTAGAACAATTGGATGATTTTGAAGATGATTCTGTTAGACAAATGCAAGGCTTGACTCAACAAGAATATATAATAAGAATTGAGCAATTAAATAATGAACTTGTTCATGCTTGGAATTCTGATCAGCGAGTTAAAGCTTTAAAGATTGTTATTCAAGTAAAATATCAACGATACATTTTAAGCTATTTTTTATTTTTTTGATAGTTGTATTATTAAAAATCTATATTTTTAGTGTGCAAAACTGTTAGTAGATACATCAGTGATTTCATTTTATCCAAGTAAATTTGTTCTTATTACTGATATCTTAGAAATATTTGGAAAATTAGTGTACAAAAGATTAAAAATAAAAGCAGAATGTATCAAGTCTGTATATTTAATAATTTTATTTATATTTAATTTTTTTTATTATTTTTAAGCAATGATAAATTTATTATATTAGACCAGGATTTAAGGCATCAACAAGTTTACCAGATAATTTTACATCAGATATGGTTTCAGAAAATGCTAAAGAAACTTGCCAAAATTGGTTTTACAAAATTGCATCAATAAGAGAACTTGTTCCACGACTTTATGTTGAAATGGCAATTATCAAAGCATACAATTTTTTAACAACTAAGTAATTCAAATAAAATATTTTAACTTGTGAACAAAATAATTTCTATTTTTTTACTTTAGTCTTATAATTAATTTAGTATTTATTTATTGTTAGTGAATTTAATACAGTATTGACACGTATCACTAGAATGATTCGAGGAATCGGTGACCCATTAGTAGCTGTTTATGCAAGATGTTATTTATGTCGCGTTGGTTTTGCTCTCAGAACATCAAATCCTGACTTCGTAAAAGAAAATTTTTATGATTTTATTAATACATATCGACAACTGTTTTCACAATCTACAAAATATGATTTGATTAAGCAAAATATTTGTTTACACTCTTATTTAAACCTTTATACACCAGCATTAGATTGGATTTTACAAGTTTTAGCTGTGACGGCATCTGATAGTCTTTTGACAGAAGTGTTTACCAGATGTAAACAGGAATCTAATAAGTAAATTATAGATTATTTATAATAGATTATTAAACAACTAAAATTAATTAATTTATGTTCATTTTAGTGCGTTACTGTTAAATACTATTTTACATTCATTCAAACCAATATATATTGCATCTCATTCATTGGAATTTATTAATTTAATAGAAATGTCTCAAGATACTGGTAATGAATTTAATTTCAAATAAATAAATATATTTAACAATAATTAAATGTTTTTAGGATATCCACAATGTCATTTGTATAGAAGTTTAGGTGAATGTTTAATACAAGAAAGGCCACCAAAAGATGAATGTCAATCTGTTTTAAATACAATTTGGAAATATATGAAAAATTTAAAAGATTCAATCAGATTTATGTATGTAATGGAAATTTGGATTCAATTTATTGTTATTTATTTTACTGTGAGTAAATTATTTAAAAATTTGAATTATTGTATGGTATTATACATACAGATCAGCATTAATTTATTAATATATAATAGGCTAGTGAAATTAATTTATTCTTGGGTGAAATTATAAATCATTTAGGACCAAGCAGAGAATTTGAATATTTTTATCCACAGTTACAAAATATTATTGAAAAATTGGTTGCTGATGCTCAAGATTTTGATTCAATTTTAACAATGGTAAGTGTTACAATTTATTTATTAAGTAAAAAATTTCAATATTTTATATTTCTATTAGGACAACTTTTTGCCATTAATAAATCTTTTTCAAAAAGAAAGTATAAAAGTAGAAATATGCAAAACTATAGTACAAGGTCTTAATAAACAAAATAGTCTAATAATAGATCCAATTATGATAAATGCTCTTATGTTTATTATGAAAATAATGCATGACACAGTCAGGTACATTTTTTTTCTTAGTAACATTAAATTAACACAATTATATAAATATATTGATGTATTCTTGGATATAATTAATTAATATTACAGTGCACTTACGGTAGAAGATGAAAAAAGACAAATTGGTCAATTGATATGTAATCTTATTCAGAGAATAGATTATAATCGGGATTTTGAGAAGCAGTTAAATTTTTATGTAGAAGCACGAGCTGCTTTTCATAATCTTGATATTGTACATGTTCAGCTTGTACAGGTAGAATGTTAGAAAATTATGTAAAATGTTTATTTAAGTTTTTAATCTAAAATTACTGTTTTAAATCTTATTATTAGTATGTAAATAGACTATCTATCGATACTAGAAAAATTGTTCGAGGTCATCATACTAGAAGAACATCAGCATTTGTACGTGCTTGTGCTGCCTTTTGTTTCATTACAATTCCTTCTTTAACTATAGTTTATACAAAACTTCAATTATATTTATTATCAGGTCAAGTAGCTCTTCTTAATCAATGTTATGGTCAAGGTAAGCTTTTTAAAAAGATTATGTGCAAATTATGTAAATTGAAAACTTCAGTCATTCTAAACCAATTTTAGAAGAATAGAAACATGTATTTATAAAAATATTTTTTCCAAATATTTTCAAATATAAAAGTCCATTTTCATTTTATTATTAAAGTATATATTTATCATGTATCAAGTAAATACAAAACGATTCTTATTAAGAATATGATAATCTCACCTTACATAATTGTTGACTTTAAATGTATTGCAATTCTATTTAAATTTTTAATATTGTTATTTATTTATCCAACTCTTTTAATAGCTGATGCATGCTTCAAAGCAGCTTTAAGTTTAGTACCAGAAATGCCTAAATCTTTAGATATTGATGGACAAAACAAGAGTTCAGAGCCATATTTACTTTCTTATCTTTCAAATTTTCTTTCTACTTTATTGGTGGTTCCGGTAACATTAATATTTTAAATTTATCAAATTTATCAGAATGGAATATTTTAATGAAAACTACTTTTTTTTTTAATACTTGAAATCTTTTAATTTTCATTTAACAGGATAGTCCTGAACATGGAGTATTGTATTTGATGAGAGGCCTTCTTAATGCAGTTCAACGATGTTTTGATCATAATAATAAGATAAAGTCGCATTTGTATCTAAGGGTACTTGATCTTTTGTCTACAATAACTCAAGAAACTTATCTTTATCATGTTGATAAGGTATAAATTCTAGATAGCCATTTTTAATGAATATCATTAATTTTATTATTAATTATAAAACAACTCAATTAAATAGGTAGATTCTAATGATAAACTATATGGTTCAGATCATAAATTTGTTAATGAAGTTAATAAAATGTGTTCAAAAGTTTTTGAAGAACTACTAAGTTATTTGAAACATTTAGGATCGTCTAATCAATTAGATAAACAATCAATCCTTGCTTTTGAATTGTTTGTTTGTATGATTATAAGAGCAGATTTAACAAAGCCATCGTTGTTACATATGGCTGTTAATTTGTGGAATTTATCTCAAAAACGTAATACTGTTGATTCTAAATTTAAAGTGGGTTTAGAATATTGTATAATATAAAAATTGTTATATGTTGATAATAAATATACTTTACTTTTTGCATTTTTGCAGTTAAAAATATTAGAATATATAATGAAAAAGAGCCAATTGCAGCAGTTTCAACATTTTACTGACATGTTAAAAGAAATGCTGAAATAAGACACAACATTTAAATCAGAATATAAACTAAATTTATAAAAAGTAAAGATTGATGTTAATATCCAGTATTATATTTAAGTTCTTTAAAAATAAGATAGTGACACAGCAAACAAATTATAAAAAAAAAAGAAAAAAATATATATATATGTATAAAAGAAAATATTTGTTTACTTCTTTTATACTATAATCAATAACATTTGTTACTAGAAATAGAAAAATTCATCTAGTGAAAGTATAGAAATCATATCAATTTTATATATTAGGTACTGATAAGCAGATACTGACATATAAATTCATTAAATAATATCTCATATAAAACTATATACATACGTACATCCATACATTGAGACACTAAAATATCCATTTTAACGTGAACGAAATAAAATTATTAAAAATTTAAAGACAAGATACCATTAACTTAAGTATGTTTGAAAAATTGATGATATATAAATTTTCTAACAAGTATGTTAATACAATATTGTAAAAAATAAAATTTTTGAAATATTCAGCTGTTAATCATTTGATTATTGTTTTGATTATTTAAAATATATTTATATGGAGATTTATTCTTTAAGAATAGTTTGAAGATTTTCTAAGAATATATTAGCATGATGTTCTGTAAATGTAAGAGATGGTCGAAGTCTAATTGCTGTATTTCCACAACCACCTGCTTGAATGCCTATAATGATAATGGTACTAATTAACGAAGTTTGTCAATGAAAAAAATATAATAATTGGATTTTAAAATATAAAATAAAAAATGTTTGTTAAGACAAAACATGTCAATGTTTACCTTTTCTCAATAGTTTTTTAATTGTTTCATCTCTTAATTTTGAAGTAGCACAGTTAAAAGCAATAAAAGTTCCTCTTCCGCGAGATGAATTTATGGTATTTGAAAATTCATTTTCAAGTTTTTTTAATTCTTGTAATACATAATTTCCAACTCTAGTGACTCTATCCAATAGATTTTCTTTTAATATCACATCTATTATTGCCTCTAAAAGTATTAATTTGCTAGGGTCTCCCATCCATGTATTGAATACGCGATATGGTTGATTTGGTCTAAAATGTTAAAAATTTATATTATCCTAATATTATAAACAATTATATTATTATATATATAATATTATACAATTATATTATTTCTATGTAAAAAGTCGACGATCAGATAACTGAACAATAATATAGCAATTTATTCGCATAGATATTTTGTAATTTTATAACAAATTTTTTTTCTTCATATTTTAGGTAAAAACAGAATTAATAAGTAATTGCATTCAATACATACAATATTTTAATGGTTTTAAAACAAAATTTCAAACAAAAATAAAAATTAAAAATCCGTTTTTCAATGCTTGTATAAAAAATTTTAAAAACACCCACCCATAGAAATAAATATTTTATGTTTAATTACGTAAGTTTTTACAATTTCTTTCATTACTTACTTCATTTCTTCGAGATGATAGTATCCTCCTAATTGCATTTTTTTACTGAAAGTGACTATATGAGGTGGGGACTCAAGATTAAAGTGCTCGTGACACCACATTTTACCAGTTGGTCCACCACCGGTTTGTACTTCGTCGATTAGCAAAGCACCACCATACTAAATATGATCATGGTTACTAAGTGGAATATATATAAACTAAATAAAATAGGTTAAAGGGTAAATTTGTTCTTTTACTTTTTTAGTGATTTGTTGGAGCTTTTGAAAAAAATATGGAGAACCATGATTGTCACCTCCTTCAGCTTGAATAGGTTCAACAATTACTCCAGCCACCGGAAAATGTTTTTCCCTTTTATATTTATCAAATAGATATTCAACCTGTAACATTTTAAACAAAACGATTAAATTACTTTATTTTTTACTATATGTTATAGTAACTTTATTATTATATTATTGGTTTAATCACAAATTATTTGGTAGAATCTATAATTTATAGTTAATTTTTAAAATGCTTATTGATCCTTGCATTTTAAGAATTTTTTTATATAGGACCTGTACATTTAGTGTATATAAAAGTGAAGGACTTTTTTAAAAAAACTTTACAAAACTAATTTAATTCTTAGATATTCTACGAATCAGTATTAAGACTATTGAAATTTTACAAAAATAACTTGTTTATGGATGCTTGATTTTTGTATAATGCATTTTTTATTTTCAAATAAAAAAATTTTTTTAATAAGATTTTATATTTTTTTAATCAAATACTTAAATTATTTGAAAATAACTAAAATAAGGTAAGATAAAATAAGAAAAATGAGGTAAAAATTTTGACTGTAATTATTATAATTGACATTATGCTTATTTTAATAGTGTTAATTTTAATTTTTTTCTTTGTACTATTATTTCAATATATTTATAAACTATATAATCAACTTATCATTTATATATAATTCGATTTATTTTGTGTGATATTTACAAACTGAACATGTGAAATATAAATTATTTTCTGCAAATATAAAAAGGTACATGCAAATATACATTACTTTGTGTGTCCTAAATTAAAAAATGCATTTTCGTCAATTTCAAACTTTCTCAAATATTGGTTTGAAATCTTATGTAAAATAAAGTATTTATTAAATTTCTTTTATTTCAATTTTATAATAATAAATATTGACTACTTTTAGACAAATAAAATTTAATATATATGCATATGAAACATTGACAAAACAATTATAATCAACTTAGAAATTCTCACTTCTTATATGAACTTCCTTATAGCAAAATGAACAATTATTTTATTTAAATATAAGACATTTCAAAATATAAATTAATGAATTCAATGAATTCAATAACAATGTATGTTTTTCTACACAATAAATATTCTTGAAATTAATGCTCTATAAATTATTAAATAAGTATTTCAACCAATGTATCAAAATTTTATTTATTACAAATTAATTTAAATTAGGGTATATTAAATATTATTTTAATAAATATTATTTGCTCGATTTCGAATTCAGTATATTATATAATTTTAATCTAAACTACGTTTTTAAAAAAATGCTATTTTAAATTGGAAATTAGAATTATTCATAAAAATATTGAAATATAATTTAATTGTACTAAATAAATTTTAAATGTCTAATAACAAATATTGTATCTAGTGAATAAAATATAAAATTTATAAAATATTCACATAATGATATTAATTAAACTAAATATGAGCAAATAATTATAAAATATTTATGTAAAATATTTATATGTATGTATAAATAATTATGAAATCATTACAATATAATAAGTAATCACCCATAAATATTAATTTTATTTTAAATTTGAAATATATATTATTGAAAAACAATATTTGAAAATAACAAAGTAAACAATACATCTCAGCTCAACTTCAGTATTAATAGATATTCAAATGATTTAAAAATGTTTCTAAAATAAATATTAAAGGTATCCTTGAATATGTGATGTTTTTTTTAATAGTACTTAATAGTCTTTTATGCAAATAAAATAAAATTGAATAAAAAAATGAATAATTATAATAATTATGTAAGAATTAGTAAGTATATCAGAAAAATAATTGAAATTTATATAAATCAATTGAAATCATATAAAATTATTGTAATTTTAAGAATACTTTTAAAACCGTAATTGTATTAAATTAATAATTTAAAAATGGTAGAAACTAAAAATTTTTCGGTAAATTGACAAGATAATTAATAATAACATAATTAATGTTCCTTACGGTTACTTATATAAAATATTAGAAATAGTTCACTTGAACATATGAATATGCATACCTTAGCTAAACAAAAATCATCTTCTTGTTTATTCTCACTTTCATTACTTTCAAGTGGATACTTATAACGCGGAAATGGTGCAATCGGCCAATCAAAAGCTGGTACATCGATTTTGTGGATGTATTTGCTATGAGTAGTAGATAGAGAACCAAGAGTTCTTCCATGGAAAGCCCCTATAATTATAATTACGATAAACATTGTTTTAGAATATATTTAGGTTTTAATTACTTTATTATAACTTTTTATTAACAGAAAAAGCTTAATGATATTATTATATAGTATTGATATTGGTGATATACTAGTTAAAAAGAAAATTTTAATTATTTTCTGAGTTGTACATAATAATAAATTATGTAATATATTATTTATATTTTATAAACACATTTGTTTAAAAATAATAAAGTATTCAAAACCTTGGGATTTTTTTAAATAATACATTTTACATATATTTATATCAAGCTTTCTGTAAATATTTAAAATTATATTTGAAATAGATTTCATAAACTGAACAAGTTTGTTATTGGTAATAATGTATTGAAATGATTTATAAAGTTACCCTCAAATGACATGATTGAGTATTTTGGAGATCCTGGTACTTGGTTTATCATACAACTGTCCATTTCTTCCTTAGTAAATGATTTGCCATGCCTTTGTTTTTCTGCATACCAAATAAAAATATTTTTGAATGAATTCTCATTGGAGCATGATCCACACATCATAGTTGTTATGTGTGAAAATCCAGGTGGGGCAATCTTAAATTTAATTAGAAATTTTGGCAATTAATTAATATGTTAATATATTCGTTTATTTATAAACTAAATATAAAATAAAATAAAATAAAATATCTAACAATTCATATACTAACTCCTTTCTTAAGTAGAACATTTTTCAATTTCTCTGGCCAATCACGATTTGGAAATACTCCAAGCGCTGGACGATTTGCAATAATTTTCTAAAAAATAATCGTGCTATTTTTGTAGTGGAATATAAATTCGACGAGTAAATGCTTTTTAAAATAAATTATGTAAATGTTACATTTATATTTTATTTTTTTTTATAATTGGAATAAACAAAATATTTTGAAAAACAACTGTCCAGTTTCCATATATTTAATTCTGTAATTTATTTAAATCAAATGAAAATAAAAAATGTTTTATTTAAATATATAAACGAATTTTTAACTGTTCATTTATTGTGAAACTTTATATTATTTTTACTGAAATTTATATCAAGTTTTATTGTAATGAACTGATGCCAGCACAAAAAACAATCGCAATAGATTTCATATTATTTTTGCATAGGAAATTTTCCGTATTAATGTAACAAAAGTTAAAATTTTTTATGCTCTTCGTAATTGAAAATATCAATCAGAATCCGTTATTTTAAGAATTGATATGCAATATAAAAATGATGATATTCTAGATTAACATATAATTGTTAATCTTTAAAAACAATTAAGTAATTGCTTGTTACAAATAATATTAATGACAATAAAGTATGTTAATTGGGTAATGCTCGTTTTATACTGAGTATACAGTACAATACAATGTGAATACGGAGTACTCATACCGATTAACACTCAAAATATTACCTGATTGCGCGGATCTGTAAGAACCTGAAGCATTGCAGGATGATTATAGCCAAGGGGCATCGACGATATCTGCATGTAGATATCAAGCATCAGATTGCCATCGACGTCGGCCAGATAATTGCCAATCGATTTTTCGTAGTCCGCAAATAGTTGTACCGAGGATGCCTGCTGTATGGAGTTCATTTGACGATAAAGTTCTTGAGAGACTGGTCCAGGAATTTCTGTTGCGATCACTGGGCTCTTAGGTTCGCTTGCAAATGGTTGTGTTGATATTGTTCGTAACCAATTATGCAATTCTCCACCTGCCAGCAATAGCGATTAATGGTTATTCCGACGAAATGATTGTATTTTGTATATAAAAATACAAAGGAAAATTTTATTGTAATCAACTTATAAGTATTATAGTTTGTATTTTTCTTAATATTTTTTAAAATTAATTCTATTTCTGTATTTTTTCTATACGAAATTTTTTCTTGAATTTTATTCTCAAATAAACCACTGAAAATTTTTAAGACGATATATATTTGCTTGCAATTCTTACTTTATATATAATTTATTTCTGATATTATTAAATTTGTAAAAATTTTATAAAATAATATTATATTTTTTCAATTAAATTTAAAACTACTTATATTTTAACTGAAGGATTTGGATGTTAAATTATATGCCAATTAATTAATAATATACTAATTTATCCTTATTGAAAATATTGAAATGAAAAATTAAATGTGTAAATGATTAATAATTTATTATTGTTTTATTAATATCTAAGTATGAATAATATACATATATTTTTATCCATGTTAACAAATTATTATAATATTTTATATGTGATTTTATATATATTGGCTTCAAGATAAAAGAATTAAAAATAAAATAAATTTTTAATTATTTATTTAAAATTTTAATAAATCTAGTGATAATTCATTAGAAATCTATTTAGAGTTTTACATTAATAATTAATAATTTTCCGAATTCTATGATATTTTATTGTATCTATTGAAGTTATAATATTATTACTAAAATAATTAGAAGAATTAAATTTACAAATCAATGTATATATAAAAAAAATATAATGAATGCTAATCATAAATTTTTAACACATAAATAAATCAAAAACAATTTCAATCATGAAATAATGTTGTTTTGCTATAAGTGTTTAAGGATTTATCTTTTGAATCTTATGAAATTGGTTTTATTAAATTTCAACAATTATGTCTTGTAAATAAAACATTATAACATCCTATACAAATAAATGTAGTGATTATTTTTAACTAATACTAATTCGAAATAGTTGTATAATATATTGGGTTGTGACCTCGTCATCTCATCTTCACTCGTTTCTCTAACCTTCTACTTGTATGTTCAGACGAAATTTTATAAATGTTTTTGACTGTTTTTCGTCTTTATTTTTACATATATTTTTAATGTTTTTAGAATAGATTTTTCATTCAACCTTTTTATGTACCAATGGCTTATTATTTAGTAACAATTTTTTTATCTTGACTTTAAAATTTTTTAAGAATATATAATATGAAATGAACATATCTATAATAATAAGAGTGATTTAACTTTCTTAAATCAAGAATTTTTGCACGTAAACAACAAAAGATCAAGATTGCTTACAATGTAAAATAAATTAGCTTACAAGTGAATACCACTATAGTAAACTGAATTCAATAATTTTTGCATTCAATTTTTGCATTGCCTTAAATAATTAGTGTTTTTAAAAATGGCATATGTCGTAGAAATATAAGATATAATTGAAAGTTAGACCGAAAGTATAGCTTGAGAATCCAATAGATCATTAATTCTATAATTTTATGTAAACCATGTTATATGGAAATATTTTAGTGGATGTTCACTACATCATTCTACACATAAAAATAAATGTTATTTTCTTCCAAAGTAGCGAATACTCGCGATATTATGAATGAATTGAAAATTAATGAAGTAGTATAATAGATTATTAACCTAATACAAATATTTTAAATATCGTAATTGTTGATAAGTAGCAAGACTTCAAAACTTTATCTTTGAAGAAAAGTAGAAGTAAATTTTGAGAGAAATCGATAGGATTGCACATGCGCAGTACCTCGGAGTGCTCGGGCTGACACGAGCACTGGTTGCATTCTCTTTGCAATCATTTTGCCGATGATCCTGGACCTCGGCTTTTGTTGTACTTTTCTCCTGACAGGCTATTTTTGGTAACAATAATATTTATTATATACAAAGACCAATCCTCAGCGATGCCTGTAGCGCGACTGTTACAGATTGCTCGCCGACACTTCGACGTTTCATTGCTCCCCACTTCAACTTGTTGCCTAGATTCCATAATTATATTCCCCTCCCATTTCTTTGTATTCTCGCCTTGTTTTCTAGTTTTAGCTCTCAAATTTCCTTGAATTTATCAATGCGGTTATTACAATCTTTCATAAATTTACAAGTAAAATGACATACAATTCTGACATATTCGGATTTTACAATTATGTATAATATTCTACGTTTAACTTAAAATCAACAGTAATATATGAAAATCAATACAAATATTTCAAAATATGAATATTATATTTATAATAGCATGAATTATTGTAAATTATGGAAACGTTGAAAGTTTTTTATATATATAAGTTTTTATTTTTTGATAAATTTTATGCACTATTTACTAAGCAAATTTTTAAATAAAAATTTCTAAAGATTTTATTTAATTAAATTTAACTTATATAGAAGTTTATAAGGCAATGCTTACGTTCATTTTCTACATTTTTTTATTAAATAGATTAATTTATATTTTAATATCAACGAAACAAGCTTTGAGATCTTTTTACTAATTAGAAAGATAACATAAAAAGGGTTGTATATCAGATATAATACATTCCAATATGTTTCTTTCAATTACACTATTTTCTTTTTTTCGAAAATTAAATATTTAGCTAACTGTTGAATACTGTAAAAGCATCATATCTATTTGTAGATTTATTTTTATTAATTAATTAAATATAACAATTTATTATAATTCTAATGATATTGATTCTTACTCAATTCTTTGAGTAAGTAAATGCTTAAATGAAAATTATGTATATTTTTCATTACATAAGATAATAATATAAATATTTATTTGCATAAATAATTATGAGATATTATATATAAAATATTATAATAATCATTGAGAATAAAATATTCATAAAAAATAAATGTAAAAATATATAACTGGAATTAATAAATGAAAAGACTGAAAGTGCTTACAGAAATCAAAATGCCGTGTTAATGTACAAGGTTTCGATTAAGTTCGAGGGAAAGAATATAACAGCAAGAACTATTTTGAATTTAAAAAAATAGTAGTGATATTAGTGGGGGGAAATCATCTTAATTTTTGTTGACTAACGCAATCTAATTGGTTATCTTAATTAGAAGAAAATATAACTTTGTAAGTGGAAGAGAGTGTTCGATTTTTACGTTTTGTTTTTATGGCTCTAACTGCCATTTCAATAGTTCAGTGTATTAATCTCTCGCCATAATGAATTAAGAGAAAGAAGGCACAAATGAAATGATAAAAGTATAATGTAATATATTTAATTTCGATTATTAATTTATTCTACTTATAAAACTATAATATTGTAGTGTTGTTGTTTACTTCTATTGAGATAGAGAATTATTCTATTGTAGTAGTGTGAGTTCTTTCTTGTGTTCTTGAATATCTGAATTTTTAATTGCAGTTTGTGATGGCGCAAGTGACACTGATGTGAAGTAACTGAATAGATGTTTAAACGTATAGTGAGTAATGAGTGTAGACAGAAGCTTGAAGATTGAATAGTGCGCCCGTTATAATGACTGCGTATTTGTTACTAAACTAAACTGAGTTAAAGACAGGCTGCTGCGTGTGAAGCGCAGCCCTTAAATATTATTGTACTATTGCTTAAAACGCCGGTATTTTGTTGTCGTCACGACTAATGTCGTGATGTTAACAGGGCATAGCCTGGAAGGTTCGTTGTTATTGTTTTGTTTAAATAACTGAATCGCGCGTTCATACCTCTCCCACTTTTGTATTCCGCTTTTCAACTGCTTCAATCCGTAACAGAGAGTAATAATCATTTGTCTAGTAATAATATTTACGTATTTATATGTCTAACTATTTCTTTAAAAAGAAGGATATAAGAAAATATAAAAGAGGATAATATTTTTAAGTTTTGTTTTCAATTGCGCTAAAAAAAGAACAAGGAAGATCAAAGAAGATTTAAAAAATGTTAGAAAATTATAAAAATCAATTTAAAAAACTGCAATCTATAAAGTCTGCAATGTGTATTAATTATTTATATTGTAATACATGCGTGTTACGGATTGAGACAGTTGAAAGCGGAATACAAAGTAGAAGAAGTATGAGCGCGAACATTTGTTTATAAACACTAGCTAACGAACTCGAGAAATGTGTCTACACCAAAACTCGAATGTACGACTATAATACAGAAAAGTAATAACAATGAACCTTACAAGGCTATGCCCTATTGACGTCACGGCAAATATCAGCATAGAAACGGCCACCGGTGCGCTACCGGCACTGCAAGTTCGTACGAGAATATTTAAGTAGCTGCTCTTGACGCGCATTCCTCTTGCTAGTATTAATCACGCACTCTCCACATCGGGCTCGCTATCCAACCTGCAATCGCCAATACTGTAGCCATAGCAAGCATCAAGCAGCCTAAAGCACTAATAGCGACTCCACAACTACATCGGCTCCCACGCCTACGTAAGCAACGCAACACGCACGTTCTTTCCTACCGCAACTACATCGGCTCCCACGCCTACATAAACAACGCACCACGGACGTTTCTTACTACCACCACTATACGGGCTCCCACGCCTACGCAAGCAATACACCACGCACGTTCTTTACTACCACAACTACATCAGCTCCCACGCCTACGTAAGCAACGTACCACGGACGTTCCTTACAACCACTCTAATGCAGGCTCACACATCTACCATTGGCGAACCTCCTGTTCACACACGCAGTGAGGCAACACGAAGTCCTTCCCACCACACAGGCATAGCGGCGCTCAAACTACACCGCCGACAAGAGCAGTATCGTCCGACTCGCCCCTCCAGTGCGAGTCCACCACCACAGCGACTCATCTTGCAAGGAGAAGGGATCACGTCCCACTCTATCGAGAGTACACACACTTTCATCATCACGTAACCAACATACGAAATTTCCTTATTTATTCACTCACACCTTCATTCATACACTTCAAATCATTAACTATTTATTATATTTAATAAAAGGAAAAACAATAAACATTAAAGGCAGTATTGAATAATTGCATTCCCCCTTCCACTTGCCAACAACACCTCCATCTACCATCATAAGGAGGTTTTCAGTCGGATCCCAGACAATGCGTTTAGGGTAACATTTTAAATAAGTAGCAATGTAAAACGAGGATGTAAAGTACATAACTTGACGAGAAATATAATTTGTTTAAAGGACTTTGCAATGTAGATATAAGTTAATGTCTTTTACCAATTCCCAATTATTTGATAAATAAATAAAAGAAACCTTATTTCATTTTTTAATAGTTTAGTTGTAGAATATGCATCATTTATTATTGGGCATCAATATTTGTTCGAAATTGCGAGAATCCTTTCGAAGTTGTTAGACATCTGGAGAACCCAAGTTGTTATACATCTGGAAAACTTGAGTCGCCTAGTGTTCGAAATTGAAGCCAGTTTCAAGACCGTCGATTGTCGGCATCGCCGGCCTTTTAGATCTCAGATTTCTGTAAACTAAACGAGAATTTTCGTATACTTGTTATGTTTTGGTTTCAAATGGTGTGTAATGTTTATATGGTCTTCGGGTAATAACATCATCTGGGATTCTCTAACGTTATTACGTTTTTTCTTTCGTCGAATTCTCGAAACATCTAGACTTTTCTTTCTGCGCCTCATGTAATATTCCAATGCAGCAACGACGATGTTTTCTTGCCAGCTAAGTGAGCCGTCGCGTGGATATATAAGGCAAGTACGCGGCGTGCCTCGTTCTCTTGCTGAAGCTCCCTCGTACTGAACTGCGCTTGCTGCAAACATCTTGCCGTGACCCGACCGCAGTGAACCAATCTAACCCTCTCGGGTCTCGGTACCAGGACCGCCACGGAACGATCAAGCCTTCGGTTCGTGCGCGTATTCAAAAGGCTTATAAGCTCATTGTAATTCTACCTCGCGTTCATTTAATTGTTATTACCACTCAGTGTTTTAGTATATACTGTGACGACGACGCGTGGCCGCATATTCGGCAACCAACCTAAACTAAAAAAAACTAACACGTGCATTATTAAAAGGAAATCAGCAAGAATAAGTAGTAATTTACAGTGAAGCCAATTAGAACAGCAAACAAAAGGGACACACCAGCCATGCAGTAAATTAACATACCTTGTCGGCAGTTTAAAAGGTACATCTCCTTATATTGTTAAATAAACTAGTCACACACGCGTAAAATCACGCTTCAGAAATCTGCCCTTAAAGAATCGACTGCGGAAAGATTACGCTCTATCGAACTAATACTTCAACATCGTACAGGCCCGCAAACAGTCGATTGGGAAAGAGCACGCTCTATCGAACTAACACTTCGACATCGTACAGGGTCTGAAAGAGTCAACACAATTAACGCAACACGTCAATTACACTGTCATATCCAGACAACGATTTATAGAATAATCGACAACAAAATACATGTTCATCAAGTCCTTCAGAGCTCGAAGGTTTGTCATTTATGATTCTTGCGTGTGACTAGTTTTCAACTGCTGTTCGATTTTAAAGGTTTAGTTTATGGCTCGAACTACCAATTCAATAGTTCAGTGGATTAGTCTCTCGGCAGGATAACTTTAAAGGAAATAGTAATTGACAAGGCTGAAAAATATCATGTATTTAGTAAAACAATGTTTATTAATTGTAAATGATTATAATAATATTGCACTGTTGTGTAGAGAGAGATAATTCTATTGAAGTAATGAGGGTGTGTTCTTGTATTCTTGGTTATTGTAGATTCTATGGATATTACTGTGTCTTGTAATTGAGGTTATGCCGATATTGTAAATATTATCTGGTGTAGTCAATCAATCATGCATGTGAGGTAGCATGAGAAGATGATGTTTGAATCAAGTATGCTTGACGTATCAATGACTATACTTGATATGGTGTAAGATGTTTAATGGAATTTATTGAGTAATCAATCGTGTCTTTAATTATTTATAGGGGCAGTAGAAGAGCTAGTCACTCACAAGTGTCATTAATTATAAGCCTTAGAACTCTAAAGGATTTCTTGATATGTATCAATGGTCGATCAGTCGATAT